AATATATGGGAATTGATGATGGTTCCTAATTCACGATAAGCACTTTTGATCATATTGGTTTTGTTTCTTTGAACAGGGATGTCAACCATAAAAGGAGAAACTTCTTTAGAAAAATCAATTGAATCATATGGTGTGGTCATCAGAGTTAAATAAGCTTCTTTCATGGAGTACCGACCAGAAGTTGAACAATATTGAACAAGTGAATCAATATGACTGTTGATGTCTAATTTGGTTTTTGTATTATCCTTGATACGATAATACTTATGCATTTCATCTGAGGTAAAAGCCTCTCTAATATGAAGAGATGCTTGTTGGATATAACTTATAACCATTTGGTTTTGGTCTTTCAAAGATATTTCATCTGGATTTGATGGTGTTGAAGTATCTTGAGCGGTTGATGATTGACCATGATCTAAGTTTAATTGTTGGAAACTTTCAGCAACATGTTCACCATCTGATGTGATTGGAACATCTTCAGAAGGAGCTGTAGCAGGTGGTGGTGGTGGTGGTGGTGGTGGTGAGTTAAAGCGTCTGTTGCGAATGGATAAAGGATTGGTTGATGAGTTTGAAGTTGTACCTCGACCTCTTCTAGCGTTACCTCTTCCTCGAGGGTTATCACCACGGTTGTTAGCTGGAGCTGAAGTTGAAGTTGAAGCAGATGAAGTTGAAGTTGAATCATTGGTAGTATCAGTACCAGAATTGGAAGTAGCTGGAGCAGAAGAATCAGATGGAGCTGGAGCTGGATTAGCATTAGCAGCTGTTGCAGTTGGTGTAGTACCATTGGTTGATTGAGAATTGTCAACGTTGTTGGATCTAGTATTAGCCATGATGATTGAAAATAATTGATGATATTAGCTTTCTTTCTTATAATTCCTTGTAGTTTTATCGGCTTTTAACCTGTTGGGGTTTCGCGAGTTCCTTTTACAAAGTTTTACTCTAAAAACCAGTTGTCTATTAAAATATTCTAATTTACATTTACATGGGATCCCACTCTCCTTTTATAATCTTTCTAACTGAAATTCGTATCCTATTTCGGGCTGGATGCTCCCTGCCATTACTGGCTATTAATCAAAGTTGTGTGTATAACATGCTGTGTTGTGATGTATTGGATGTGTATTCATAGTGAATACCTGAGTTGTGTAAATCTGATGTGCACGGCACAAGGTTTAGGCTGTGAAAAATAAGTGAGATTTAGGCGAGCTCTAATATATGGGAATTGATGATGGTTCCTAATTCACGATAAGCACTTTTGATCATATTGGTTTTGTTTCTTTGAACAGGGATGTCAACCATAAAAGGAGAAACTTCTTTAGAAAAATCAATTGAATCATATGGTGTGGTCATCAGAGTTAAATAAGCTTCTTTCATGGAGTACCGACCAGAAGTTGAACAATATTGAACAAGTGAATCAATATGACTGTTGATGTCTAATTTGGTTTTTGTATTATCCTTGATACGATAATACTTATGCATTTCATCTGAGGTAAAAGCCTCTCTAATATGAAGAGATGCTTGTTGGATATAACTTATAACCATTTGGTTTTGGTCTTTCAAAGATATTTCATCTGGATTTGATGGTGTTGAAGTATCTTGAGCGGTTGATGATTGACCATGATCTAAGTTTAATTGTTGGAAACTTTCAGCAACATGTTCACCATCTGATGTGATTGGAACATCTTCAGAAGGAGCTGTAGCAGGTGGTGGTGGTGGTGGTGGTGGTGGTGAGTTAAAGCGTCTGTTGCGAATGGATAAAGGATTGGTTGATGAGTTTGAAGTTGTACCTCGACCTCTTCTAGCGTTACCTCTTCCTCGAGGGTTATCACCACGGTTGTTAGCTGGAGCTGAAGTTGAAGTTGAAGCAGATGAAGTTGAAGTTGAATCATTGGTAGTATCAGTACCAGAATTGGAAGTAGCTGGAGCAGAAGAATCAGATGGAGCTGGAGCTGGATTAGCATTAGCAGCTGTTGCAGTTGGTGTAGTACCATTGGTTGATTGAGAATTGTCAACGTTGTTGGATCTAGTATTAGCCATGATGATTGAAAATAATTGATGATATTAGCTTTCTTTCTTATAATTCCTTGTAGTTTTATCGGCTTTTAACCTGTTGGGGTTTCGCGAGTTCCTTTTACAAAGTTTTACTCTAAAAACCAGTTGTCTATTAA